CTCCTGGAGGCTGTCAAGCATGGTGAGAGGATAACGGAGATTGTCAACTCATGCGACGACAACACGGACTTTCTTAAAATGAGCAACTGGCTGGATAGCACCTTTGCTGATGCCAAGCGATCGACGCAGGACTACTTGCGACCGTGTGTGTCCAGTGCAATCACATTTGCTCCAACAGTTGTCGAGGATCTGTTCACCGAGATTGTCCGGGCTGGCTACACACTGGATCTGGCAGATGGTCGCTTGGAGTGTAGCAACCTGCGTTATCTCGGAGAGGACACCACCATTACAATTCAACCGAAATCTTCTCCAAAGAGAAAACTTCAACTGACGCCAGAGCGACTAGACCAACTTACAATCTCTCTGGCGTCGCCTGCTGCTGTGGTTGAGGATGAGGATGATAAGGATGAGGATGATGAGGATGAGGATGATGAGGATGATCATGATCTATGGACATGGCATGAATGTGCTCCAACCAACATTGATAGCGACGGTACAGTCCACTTTGCCTTCACTCCTCGGCAAGCTGGCCTCTATTGGATCTACAGCAGAAGCCGTGATTTGTTTCTACACAAGGATCCAGTGCGGGCGCATATCTGTGAGCGTGCAGTATTTGATGCTAATCAATGCTACAGTTCTATTCAAATCAGCAATGAAGGGCGCACTGCAAGGCTGGCCAAGCCAGGTGGTAATAACTCAAAAGCAGTGTGCACCGGGCAAGTGGCAGAAAAGACTGGTATCAGCTATTTCAGACCTCGAATTGATCAGACCCGAGAAGCGAATATCTTTCTGTGCGTATGTTCTGCCGAGTCGCCACAGCTTGATTCTATTCACTCTGACAAAGCCCACGTGTTTGGCTGGAATGGAATGGGTTCAGACAGCCTTCACCCACAGCGGAACGGCGGTGCACTCGGTCAGAAGTGGAAAACCGGCAATCAGATCACGCTAGCTCTCAACCATGATAAGCACACTCTCACCGGCACACATCACCGTACTGGTGTCAGGGAAGTACTGCACAACATACCCACCACTGGCACCCTGCGCTGGTACGTCACTCTGCACGACACAGGCGACCAGATCACTATCGTGTGAACACACAGCACGATTGACAGCTTGCCCATCGCCGCGCACCCGTTTGCTGTTTCGTCATGCCCAAGAAACGTTCTACCGGTCGTGAGTACCCTCCCTTATTGTGTGGATATGCCCCTCGACATGCAGATCTCGTAGCATCCAGTGACTTCCAGCCTGTCACTGATCAAGTCGCCTAAATGGGACACTATGACATATCGCTGCTAGTTCTAGAATAATACTCATAAAAAGTACACACTTCAGGCTCATTACAAACATCTTGAAAGTTTTTTCTTCACAAGTATACTTTCAAGCCTTCTCGTCAGGTGAAATACAAAGGTGCAAATGCGAGAAAACTCAATAAGCGTTTGTAATGAGCCTGAAGTGTGTACTTTTTATGAGTATTATCGCATTTTTGTCTCAGAGGAAACTGTTTAGTTCTAGAATACACGACAATTAACAGACATGATAACATTACATGCAAGATGATGTCACTTATCCATCACATCCACTGTACATGTATGAGCTGTGGGTAGCCGTTGCTAGTTGCTATCCAGGACCAGGCAAGAAGAGAGACGTGACTATTCATTGTTTTTTTTGTTTTGTTTTTATCCACAATAAAGACACCAATGTTTTCTTGAGTCTGGCACTTGCTCAGCGTTGGAAGACGTACATGGACGCTGAGGTTCAGCTCTTTGTGGGTCATGCGGGCGCACAGACATAGCATTTTATATTTGCGTACTGTAGTATAAACAATCTACTGCTTACACAGCTGCATAATGCCGTTTATTATTATTTTTTAAATTTTACTTTTTTTATTTTTTTTCGGCAACGCAGATGATGATGATGATGATGATGAGTATAAACAAATATGTACTCGGATGGAGAGCCAAGGATTATTTATTTTAAAAAAAGTAAAAACGACCAAGAAACTACAAGTTACACTATAACGTCCACTAACACCACCAGTTACTAAACAATCAGGTCATGCGATAACATAGCACGACACTGACCGACGGTACTGACATTCTACAACTAACTGGCTAACAGCTCTAGCACATCTTGGATGCGCACTCCAACAGCCTTCCAACTTGGAAGGTTCTAAGTTATAGAAATAACATAAGGAGGGGAAGGCGAGCGCAACCGAGATAAGCATGAGCTGAAAGTCTCAGCTGTGAAGGACGTTGGCGGATGTTCATGCATGTCGATGACGATACTGGCAAGACCATTGGACAATACGGTCCAACCACGATTCCAGGACGCAAAGCAACATTCCACACAACTTGCGTGGCTCAAAAGATGTGAAGATCAAGAAAAGGGGAAGCTATGCGAACAAGAATCATGCAAAACCGAACGCCTCAGTAAAATAGCGCTGTACTTCGACTATGACAATTTAGATGGACAATAAGCAGCGGTAACAAGTAGCAGATGTGCTACAGCTGTTCGCCAGTTGGTTGCAGAATGTCAGTACTGTCGGTCAGTGTCGTGCAATGTTATCGCATGAGCTGATTGTTTAGTAACTGGTGGTGTCAGTGGACATTATAGTGTACTGTAAATATACAAAATTTCGGCGCTGCAAAATTTCGGCACTTCACGATTTTTGACATTTCGGCGGCGATTTATTTTCGGCGTGGGGTAGAGGGCATGGTATAGTGCGACAGATGCTGTGAAAAATTTCATCGGCGTTTTAATTTAGGCGTTTTGGGTCGGTGCCGAATATAGCCGAAATTAAATAGCTGCCGAAAATTTGTATATTTACAGTAACTTGTAGTTCCTTGTTCCTTTTTACTTTTTTTATAAACAAAATTAATATGTAATTTTCAAATTTGGACTTCACGGAGAATTTCAAAGTTTTAGGAAATTAGAGGCCACGTGCCACGTACTGCTCTTTTCTCTCCGAAACTCAACACTTGCAAGCCAGATATGAAATACTCATATGAGAGTCATACTGTAGCTCAGTTGGTGAGAGCATTGCTCGCGAATAGCAAGGTCCCTGGTTCGAGTCCCGGTGGTGTGACTGATGATTTTTTCTTTCTTTCATATCTGGCTTGCAAGTGTTGAGTTTCGGAGAGAAAAGAGCAGTGGCCTCTAATTTCCTAAAATTAATATGTATTCCAGATTTAGACTATTTCCACTTGATCTTTTCCAATCCACCCATAGTTTGGGGACTTCAGGAGGTGTCGGCCATTGGGCGGTTAAATAGCCAATTGAGTCACTTTCCAAAATGCCTTTTGAGTCTCTCTCTCCTCTCCCAGGGAGACCCACGTGACCAGTTTTAGCAGTGAGCAAGTACAAGTAGTGTGTGTGTCACGGTGTGTGTGTGTGTGTGTGTGTGTGTGTGTGTGTCACGGTGTGTGTGTGTGTGTGTGTGTGTGTGTGTGTGTGTGTGTGTGTGTGTGTGTGTGTGTGTGCGTGCGTGTGTGTGTGTGACAAGTTGATATGTCTACATTGTAAGATAGCTATTCGCTATCATCGCTTCCGCGATGGGCATGTCTGAGTCTGAGTGTGTGTGTGTGTGTGTGTGTGTGTGTGTGTGTGTGTGTGTGTGTGTGTGTGTGTGTGTGTGTGTCCCATATGGTGCAGTGGTATGTGCAGTCGATTTCCAATCGAGAGGTTGCGGGTTCAATTCCCGACGATTATGGTCGCACACGTCTTTCTTCTCTTTCTTGGACTCTTCCTGACTTTTCTTTCATTCTCCTGGGTGGTTACCAACAGCCAGTGTATGCCGGAGTATGTGGTGTGGTGTGTGTGTAGAAAAAAAAATGGAAAAATGAAAAATAGGGATTCACTGGCCAGAAAAAGTCACTTCAATCAGCTGTGTGGTGGATACCAGGCTAAAAAGAGTGGCGGTCAATTTATCAGCCTTGCAAGCTGTTGAATGGTGTAATCCCAGCACAAGTTGCTATGTCTAACATAGCTGTTCGCTATCATCGCTTCCGCGATGGGCAGGTCTGAGGTCTGAGGTGTGTGTGTGTGTGTGTGTGTGTGTGTGTGTGTGTGTGTGTGTGTGTGTGTGTGTGTGTGTGTGTGCGAGTGTGTGCGTGGGTGCGTGCGTGTGTGTGTGTGGTTGATATACTTTCTATTTGAAGTATACATACCTGTTAACCATGGACTGCTTCTGGCTAGATTAACTCTTGTGTAATCAATGGTGGTAGTGAAGCATATATCAGATCCACTCTGCTTTAGCCACCCACACTAGTAGCAAGTATTACCTTCACTGGGGGCAGGGGTAACTGCAGTTGGATCCCGGGACGGATACCCCGATGCCATCAATCCTTTGTCTGCACCTTGTCCTCACCCACTTACTGAGGTGTGGTGAGCCCATAAGTGGGATCATTTTCAAGTCCACACAGAGTTTTGGGGATTTCAGGGGTGTCGGTCGTTGGGCGGTTCAATAGCCATCATCTTTCCAAGATTCTTCATGAGTCTCTCTTCCCTCTCCCGGGGAGACCCACGTGACCAGTTTTGGCAGTGAGCAACAAGTACAAGTGTGTGTGTGTGTGTGTGTGTGTGTGTGTGTGTGTGTGTGTGTGTGTGTGTGTGTGCGTGCGTTTATACGTACACGCATCCTCATGTATGTACTCTTGGTCAAAGTCTCCGGCAAGCTGAATGCTGTAGATGGATGGTGTCGCTTGGATAGACATAATTATATTACATTATTATATCACGTTCCCAATTAACTGTGGGTCGCAGCATGCCTGGGAAAAAATCCTTCCGCTTCCAAGCAGGACTTGAACCTACATTTATAGTACCCTCCCATGGTCTTCGACCATCCCATTGAACATGCCTGTTGCAGGAAAGAAGACATCAACATTTCCTTGGCAACTTTTCAGTGGCGATCGCCAAACCGTAGCAAATAGGGAAGTTCCGAACACTTTCCTAACGTCTTATGCCCACCCTGAGGCAAAAGGTAACCATGGTAACATAGTCAATGAATGTACAGTGAAGGCACCCTCCATTGTTTTCCGTAACCATGGTAACTCCACACAAATTTTTTTAAATGTGCAACGACTTGAACGATGGAATTATTTTAAAAAAATCCATCGTTCTACTCTGCATGGCCCATGATGCGCATGAATGTCATGATAGAAGGGGAATGGGACGCCAGCCTATGAACATGTGACTTGCTTCACTTTATTGTTTCTAGTTCCTAATAGAATGCACGTGCAAAGAAATTCTTTAAAAAACTAAAATAATTAATTAGGACAGCATGGCAGGCCTTCGCAGAAAATGGCAATACGGGTAGTATGAAATTGAAGCGTCGTGGTCAGCAAGCAAAAGCCTCTACTAGTCCAACTCTACGGCGGTTGTAGAGTAAAAACTAGTGTAGTAGTGAGCAGTGTGTGTGTGTGTGTGTGTGTGTGTGTGTGTTGTTCGGGATAACATATTCATCATACCGGTATGCTACTAATTAATAATCAGGTGTGTATTGCATAATTCCATGACTACTACATGGGTTTATTTAAACTCGGATGCTGAGCCAACAGGAGTCATGTACAGGAGGAAGGACAAGAACGTTACGAGTTGGTGAACGGTTAGTCATAACTCGTAACACGTTGGTCCTTCCTCTTATACATGATGACCACTGCGTGTAGTATGCCCGGTAGCAGTGTTTGATTGTCATGATACGACAGCCGGGTCTGCTTCAAGGCAAGCAGAACAGAATGGATATGTCCTAAGGTACGAAACTATTACACGGACAGTAGCTGTGTTGTAAAAAGCACTCCCCGTGGCGTAGGAATTTGGCTTTATAGTAATACATCAAACAACCCACCATTGCAGGAGTTTACATGTATCTACTGTTGCCGTCCTCTATTAAAAAAGCAATGGTAGCTGTCCTATTTTAGCGGGAGCTCACAGGTTTGTTGTCACACACACACACGCCAAACTTACGCGGCATCCACGAACAACAGACGTGGCTGCTGCCCGTACACACTCTGTAAATTCTCCTGTACAACCGGCAGAGCAGACGGACGACACGTAACTATTTTACCCTCCAACCACCGGCAGAGTGCTGGAGGAGTGTTGATCAGCAGCGTGGGTAAAGCACACGTATCACTGAACGCTGTCTAGAAAGTCGCGGTGCACGTCCACGGCGGCCTGCGGGGCTTCCCACAGCGGAGTGTGACCAATCCCACGAGCCAGCTCAGCCACCTTGGCCCGTGGCACTTCTCGCCTGCACAAACAAGCAATGACACAATCATGCTTCACCAATCGTGACTGGTCGGAAAGGTCACAAGTGAAATTAGCCAACAGATGACTACCAAAGAGCTAAGGCTTGAACTTAGATGACTACCTTGTTGAAGTACACACCTGTGCGTGCCAGTGAGACCCAAGACAGCTACCACAGCCCACACTGTGTACAGCTGTGTTGATACTTGTGAAGAAATTCTTTTCTCAAGGTTTGGAGACTCCACTGTAGCCAATACTTGAATCCATACATCCTGTACACACACTTTGTACACACTCTCTCTAACGGTCTCTAGGCTACACTGCAATTGATATACATTAGATCAAATTTTCGGGCAAGGCCCATCATCAGGAGGGGCCTTGCCTGAAAATTTGATCTAATATAATATCAATTGCAGTGTAGCCTAGAGACCGTTAGAGAGAGTGTGTACAAGGTGTGTGTACAGGATGTATGGATTGTGTAGAAATTGATAGTACAAAGCTATTATTTTGTGTTTCTCGCAGTCACAGCACTCTGCTGGTGCTGCTTTCATGATTGTGATTTGAAGTCGCCTAGTTGTTCACTAGACTCTATTGCCATCCGCGGCTTCGACCGGTCACTCTGAGCTCCGCTGAGGAAGCCTTGCTAGGTCGAAGCAGCTAGCTGTCCGGAGACTGAGTTTGTAGCATAATTATAAAAAAATGATGTCACTGCCCTGGATTCCAAAAGCAGACACAGTCGTTGCATAGCCATACAGACAGGATGTCTCAAACGATTGCGTGATGGTCATCTCAGTTTCCAAGGGAAGTTAACATTACTTGAGGCCTTTGGTGTACCAGTCACTCAGAGTGGCCAACACACCCAGGAGAAGAGCCTGGGGTGTGTGCCCCTTGCCAGAAATCACCAAAACTGGTAAATCTGGTCTGTAAAGTACTGATAAGATGAACTGACAGGACAAAGACTTCCCCTTACAGCAGTCATACCCCCCCCCCCCCCATCACAGCATAATTATACCATTGAGATAAAATTGAGGATTCCACAAAGATATATTCATCAGGCCGAGCCATAATGCTCAACAAGTACATGTACTTCAAAGTACTAACTTACTGGTACCGCTCAAATCCAGCTCTGACGTGGAACCAGTCCTCGGGGCCGAACACGTACATAACTACAAGACAATACCAGATAATACGAGAAAGTGCACACGCAAGGGTTGAGCATAAAACGTGCATGTACGTGGCAGGTAGACTGCCCTAAACCATTCTCTTAGCAGTGTTGAAACAATCGCACCACGTAATCTCTTTGCTTGAATCCGACTTTGCAGTGTGCACAGAGGGAGCGTGCTACCTCACTAAACCAGTACATGTAAGCTTGAAGCATGGCAAGTTAGTTGCACGGTGTGAGACCATTTCACCCGTTTACGCCAAGGCGACAAAAAACGGCACGCACCTGAAAACACTTTGAAGTCAAGTGCGCTTGCGTAGTCGCCGCCAATTCAAAAACACTTTCATCATTCCTTGTAGACAGTTTTGAAAACTTTTCAAATAATCGAACTGAAACCACACAGGAGGGTAGGCAGCAGCTTTTTGCCTGTTCATCAATGAATTACTAGTCCATGTAGTTATAACTCCACCACAGGCACTCTCGGGCCTTCCGGTCCTCTCTCTGCTCAACCTGGAGTTATGTTGCTAGTGTTAATGAGGTCAGCCAGAGAGCGCAACGTGGTGGAGTTGTGTGATCTGCAGAAACTATGCAAAGTGACAACACGTCCAAGAGACCGAAGAAGTGGCAGATTCCAGTCCATGATGGCACGTCTCAGATATGTATGAAGCCTGGGGATCACCTGCCATTAGAGACCGCTTCAGCTGCTTGCACGAGAGAGCGGTCGCGTTTTAAAAAACAGGTTTTACAGAACAATAACCAGGAGCATGTACATTTCAAAACTCATGGTGAAGATTATGGATACATCATTAATGAAAGTAAGACCCAGTTGCTTGTGAAGCCTGGTCTTAACCCTTTACTGTCCGTACATACAAGCATCGATCCAATGGGATCGATGGGGTAGGCATTTTGAAATTATCGTAACTTGCTCAAATCTAGGTCTTTTGGAGAGATCGAAATATGTAGGTCGAAGAGAAAAGTCTCAGCTGTCGCCTCGAACAAATCCCGAAGCGATACGAAGAGCGGTTGCTGAGTTATCGCACTCGTAATTCTGGTCCCGGGAAATGTGCGTTCAGAGCGCGACGTGCCTGTCAAACGGCTGGGATTTTCCCTGTTTACCGTAATGTCGCGTGCATAAGCCGGATTTGTGCATAAGCCTGTCTCGTGTAGAAGCATGAAATCTGCAACAGCTTTTCGCGTACAAGCCTGTCGCATGCATAAGCCGGGCCAGTACACGAGACGCGCCACGTGTCGCGTGCGTAAGCCGGGCTACTACGCAAGACTGGCGAGCGCGCCTTTTACATGTTCATGTTTGCATGGTACCGTACACTTGCACACGCGGAAAACGTGGGAAGATGCGGAAATCAACACCAGCTGCGCTCGACGGCCATGCAGCACTCTTCAAGCTTCAAACTTACCTTTCCCATGGCATTTTCCGTCTTGTCCCTTGGCAAGTTGCTTGTTTGAAGTTGTTTCGGCGCTCCTCGAACTTTTCACTTGTGTTTGTTGCAGTCTACCCGTAGATAGAACTCATCTCAACCAAGTCTGCTTGTCGAAATGCCGAAAACAAAAGGACTTCGGAAAAAATACTCAGCGACATTCAAGCTGGCGGTAGTGAAAGCTGCAAAATCGACTTCTGTCACTGCTGCTTCTAGAAAGCACAGCATCGACGAGAGTATGGTGCGGCGATGGAAACGGCAAGAAAACCAGCTTCTTGTGGCGGAGAGGTCCAAAACCAGCCGTGGTGAGCAGCGATCCCGGACATCTGGTGGGAAGCGGAGCCAGTTCACGGATTTGGAAGCTAATTTGTTCGAGTGGCTTGTTGGGGAACGTCAGCAGAGACGACGAGTGAGCAGGAAGTCTGTCCGTGCAAAGGCTAAACAGCTCCATGCCGAGATGGGAAACGCCGAGGAGTTCAACGCCAGTGCTGGTTGGTGTGCCAACTTCTTTATGCGTTTTCGTCTGACGATGAGAATGAAGACCCATCAAAGCCAACGATCTCCGGAAGACTTGATTCCCAAACTGACGGATTTTCTGATGTATCTGAGGAAGTATTTCGCGGAACATCCGACCATGACGAAGGCCAACATCTTCGCTATGGATGAAACTGCTGTGTGGTTCGATTCCACCAGCAGTCGGACAGTGGAAGTGGTAGGAGCACAATCTGTTCCATTGGCATCAACAGGCCACGACAAGGCCAATGTAACCGTTGCTCTGTGTGCTTCAGCTGACGGGAAGAAGCTCCTACCCTACATCATCTTCAAGGGAAAGGGCAAGACGGCCGAGGACAAGGAGCTGAAAGCCAGACGCGACATTGTCGTGAGTTACTCCGACAATGGGTGGTTCAACTCTGACTTGACGACGGACTGGCTCAAGAAGGTGATGGGTACCTTTGCGTTTGGGAAGAGGCTCCTCATATGGGACTCTTACCGCTGCCATGTGTGTGATGCTGTGAAGGCCACCCGCCGCGAGCAGAACATCGACTGTGCCGTTATTCCAGGAGGGTGCACTGGCCTCATCCAAGCACCGGATGTCAGCTGGAATAAGCCATTCAAGACTTCTATCCGGGAGCAGTATGACGAGTGGATGGCAACCGGAGAGAAGTCATACACTGCTGCTGGTAACATGCGTGCCATGTCAAAGTCGAAGCTGTGTGACGTTGTGGTGAAGGCTTGGCAAGGCCTTTCCCCTGACCTTATCTCCAAGTCGTTCGAGTGCTGTGGTCAGGTGCCTGGAGCCACGGCGGAGAATGTGTCATGCTTCAAGGACGGCCGTCCAGCTGCCAGCGGACGAGAACAACTGGCTGAACGGTTCGCCTTGCCGACAGCCGAACTCCGTGTTGACAATGCTGGCAGTGATGAGGTGGTGGATGAGCTTGATCATGACGCTGTAGTCCTTGGTGACGATGGCGAGGTCAATGGAAGTGGTGATGAGAGTCGCAGCGACAGCAGTGACAGTGCCTCTGAGGAAGAAGGACAGTGATGTTTCATACTGAACTGCTTTCTTTCTTGATCTTGCTAATCAAGTCAGTGTTACACAATTGTTTTGTTTCTGCACACTTCTACTGAACTGCAATTGCAAAACAATATCACCTACCGGTACCTTCTGGGTACCGGTACCCGTAGTATCTTTGATAGCTGTGTCGATAGCTGACACTTGTCTCACTCTGTGCGTGCACATCCTGTTGCTTGCCTCTCATTCTCACGGCACCATGTACGAGCATGTTCTTTATCATCGTACTCCACACCTCATGACCTGAAAAGGAGTTGAACTCTACTGTGAAGCTGCTGGTGTTTGATGAGTTGGCTTGTTCGTTTGTGTGTGTGTGTGTGTGTGTGTGTGTGTGTGTGTGTGTGTGTGTGTGTGTGAGAGAGAGAGAGAGAGAGAGAGAGAGAGAGAGAGAGAGAGAGAGAGAGAGAAAGGAGAGGGGGATGCGGTTCAGGGAGCGAAAAAAAAGAAAAAAAATCCCGTTGGAAAATGTTGGTTTTGACGTCCAAAAGTCAGCAGTTTGCGCATACAAGCCTGGTCATTGAGTGGTGCTTGTCATATAAGCCTGTCTCGTGTATAAGCCTGTCCTGTGTACAAGCCTGACTCCATCACCGGCTTATAGGCATATAAGCCCCGGCTAATGCACGCGACATTACGGTACGTCACCTGTTGGCAAGGCTACACCGATTCAAATTCAAAAGTAGGTTCCCGGGAGTCTCTACGAAAATATTTGAGCTCGATACGAGCAACAGGGATGACATGGTGGATTGAGATCGATCTCGAGCGTGAGCTCAGCGCTTTTGCGCGTTCCCTGGCTTGCAGCGCTGGACCAGTGCATCCTGTGGCGCCGAGTGTGGGCTCATTGCGTTCGTCTCGTCAAGACCTTTCCAGGATGCCCAAGATCGTGGAAATCGTCAAATTCAAACCAAAGTTACGCCAAATTTTAGTTTCAGATTTTGTCGTTGCGTGGGCTTGTATACATTTTAATCGGACAGTAAAGGGTAAAGGTGGCTGCCAGCGAGCACTTTGGAGACACGCCTATTGTTGTACAGATTGATGGTGTACGCTACCTTGGTGCTGGGCTGAGTACCTCCGCGTCTCATCATGCTTTTGCAAGACAGCGAACGGATGAGTGAACTAAAGAGCCGAAGGTTCTGACAGAGTTTGCGGCGGAGGAGCCTCATACGGCTTATGCTGCAACGACGCATGGCTTGAGACATAAATGAACATTCTTGCTTCGGGCTATGGACCTAGGTGAGGAGGTACTTGCTCCTATGGAGGCCTATCTCTCTCAGTGTTTTTGCCAGTAGTTGTAGGGCAACCCGCATTGTCTGCCAGTGATTTGAAAGTGTTGAGACTCCCGATTCGGCATGGCGGTATGGCTATCCCGGATTTGGTGCCTATTTCTGCGCATCAGCGGCAGCAGTCTCGGCATATTTCGGAGCCTCTGGGTACTGTGCATTGTAGGTGGCTACCTGGAGACGGTACATGTACCCTCTCAACCTGCCACCTCTCCAAATCACGGGCATTGAGTGTCCGGGAGTGGCCACGCTGCCTCCGCTCCTGAGGCATTGATGGTGAACGCTGTGCGGGAGCGGAAGGCCCAGACTCATGCTCTGCGGTGACGTGAAGCAGGGGCTGCGGCGAGGGTGGCTGCTGAAGTGTTGGACGATCGCGACAGGAGGCGTATTCTTGAATTATCGGAGAAGGGTGCCTTGTCGTGGCTGGCTGTTATACCTATTACTAGTATTAGGAGGCATGGTTTGAGTTTGTCACGAATAGATTTCCAGGACGTCGTTGCTTTGTGATATGGCTAGTCTTTGCAGCGTACGCCTGAGTCTTGCATATGCGGACATGAGTTTGTTGTAGTCGTGGGGGTTTCCTACCCGACGACACAATGATTGAGGTTCGGGATCTCCTGGTGGAGGGGCTTACAATGGTTTATTCCGCAGTTGGTACGGGGACCGACGCTCGTACCTCTAGCTGGCGAGCGATTTCGCTTTCGAACAGCGAACGTCATGAGGAGGCCAGACTCGATGTGAGCGCTCGGGGGATTAGGAGCCGTGGGGAGGAGGCCTTTTTTATGTAAGGGTTTTTTGCCCCAGATGCCCCTTCCTATCGCTCCAAATGTCTCAGCGCTCTACAAACAACATGAGGATCCCAAGTGTCGTGAGTATGAAGAGAGAGAGTTGTTAATGTAGAGCGTGGTTCCTTCACCCCTCCAGTGTTTGGTACTCATGGTGGTTGTAGTCCGTTGTGCAATATTTTCTTGGAGCGTCTTTGTCGCTTACAATGTGAGTCTTCGGGTAGCGTATACTCTGTTGCCATTAGTCTGCTGCGTGCCCGTCTCTCCTTCTCTTTGCTGAGATCCAGCATTCTTTGTATCCGCGGTGCTCGTTCTCGTTGTGGTTTCCAGTCCAACGTTTCGTAGATAGTTCTGTCGTGGTGGCTGAGTCTTGCCTTGTTACGTAATTTTCTGATCTTGTACTTGTATTATCATTTGTCCATCAAGTTTATTTTTTATTTTTGTTGTTTCTTTGGATGTTGTTATTAGTACGCAAGATGTTGCGACATCGGCGGTGATTAGTGAAGAAAGTGTCTGCTCCGAACGTCGGAGCTCGCGCGTCCTGCCGGCTGACTTGGCACTTGACTGCTGTTATTAGTGTTCTTATTTCATTTTTCATTTTATTATTATTTTTTAATTCTTATTAATTCATACCGTATGTCCGCACCTTTAAAGCCATGGAGGTATATTCGATTATAAAGCCAGTCTCAGCTATAAAGCCATCGGCTTTATAAAAGAAATGACATTCGAAGTATGTTTTGTAAAAGTGAAGGGATATGTACAGCCCAGCAGGAAGGGCGAACAAGTGGATTTAGGTGAAAAAGGAGGACAAAATGTTACGAGTTATGACTAATTGTCCACCAACGTAACCAGATCTTATACAGTCAGCGAGTGCGACAAAATGGCACAAAACTGACAAAGGAGTGCTGAGACATTCGGCGATCTGACACCTAGCTCCAACACTTATCCAAGGTGCAAACCAACAACCTTCCAACTTGGCTGACTGTATAAGATCTGGTTACGTTGGTGGACAGTTAGTCATAACTCGTAACATTTTGTCCTCCTTTTTCACCATAATTTAATTGGCTCACCATCCGAGTTAAGTGGATTTAGGTTGAAATTTCGGTGTGGACTTTGACTTTATGGCATGGCGTAGTAGGTGAGTCGTTTTGCGTCTAAAATAGCTAGGACAGCAGCAGTATTTCAAATATAAGGCCATGGCTTTAAAGGCGCTGACGTACGGTACAATGTTTTTTTTCATTTTGAAACTTGTTGTTTTTCTTTGAGTTCATTGATTGAGTTCTTTGATAAGCATTTTTCATCAAGTTTTGATTCGAAGTTTTCTTTCGGTTTGCGTTTGAAATCTTTATTTTACACATGCATTTTACACATGCATTTTTCCTGATTTCTTCTCCAGTTTTGTATAGCATTTTAATCCATTGCGTTTGTCTTTGCCCGTAAAAGAGGCTTTTGGACTTCAGGAGCATGTACATAGTATATCACCTGGATGGGATAAACCTTGTTTTGTTGAAACATGTTATTGGTTGACAACATGTGACAAGGGAGACCACCGTCACGGTTCGGAAACAGTAGAAAGATCGCTGTTTCCGAACACGGTGGTCTCCGCCTTGTTACATGCTGTCAACCAACAACATACTCAAGTATAGTATACCTGGTGCAAGTTTGCAATGGAACAAGGCTGTATTCAAGTTTTGCTGTCACTCCCAGCTTCATGATTATTCAGAAACCTGGAGTAACAGCAAAAAATACAACCTTGTTCTATTGCAAACTTGTGTCATTTGGATCTGCCCTCGTGGTATCGAGCACTTTTGCAACAAAAAAACATACAACAAAAACAAAAATAGCTTGGATACCTGGTATAGATGTGGAATTCAGTGCGGCGATCCAAGCAGCCTCGTACCACTCGCGCTCCTTCATGTAATGGAATATCCTACAGAAATCAAGCACAGAAGTAAAAATCCAACAAAAGCTCTCAACTATCAATCTAGATAGCAGGAGAAAAGATGAACTTGCTTGTTGACAAAGTGAATTAGTGTGGAGAATGTGTGGCTATGCTTGACAAAGTCTCTCAGCTTCAACCAACCGCCAACCCCAAACTGGGACATAGCCTCGGAGCACGTCATGTGCTGCCTGCATTGCCTAGCCTAGTTCATGATGCTTCTGATCTGGAGAGAGGATTATATTCAGTTTAGCGGATCTTCCACATTCCCGTCAAGTGTTGAAGATACTGATGGCTTGATAATGTTCTTGCTGTCGGGGGGGGGGGGGGAAGGGGGGGGGGGGGGGAGGGGGCTACTCAACATCTGGTCGAATGTGGAGATGTTGCTAGAGCCATGGCTGGCAAGGTTACCAAGGCAAAAACAAGTCATTCCCAGCAACATTGGTATGCTGCGAGGCCCCTTACTTCCTTGTGAAAGTTGAGATATTCTTGTCAAATTGCAAAGGAACCGTGCAGCCATTGACTCGCAAATTTCAGTGCGATGCTCCAAAGTAGTCATTTGTTGCTCGTGAGCTAAATGCTGCTGTCATCAGTATTGCAGGTCACTTCCTAAAGGAATTAGTAAATGTACTCTGTTGCTCACTTGGCACCCCAATGACGCTCATCAATGCCAATTTCTCAGACAGCAACAAACATGTCCATGGAGCCAAAGGTTGGGTTTGCTGCAGACTAGAGGATAACGGGACTGAAAAGAGCCAAGAAGGTTAGCGAGTGACATCTCCTAGCTATCAGCATCGACACCAAATTATTCCTTCTCATTCTTATCCAGAAAGTGTTGGAGAAATTCCCTGTTCGACACCAGCTGGCTCGCAACCTCCGATGGCTTACTGCGGCCATGATCGGTGGAGAGATGGCCCTACATCTGCTTGCGCCGGGCTGAACTATGACCTGCAGCTGCTTGTAAATACCAAAGTCAAAACAGTCAGTCGCCGTGATGATATCAATGTCTTTCCAGCTTTAAAAATGCACTCCGATCGCATAATGTAGAACGATAGGCTCTCCTTGCTGGATTCTTGTCTATCCTTCTTTCTTCTCTTTTTCTATATTCCTTTCTTTTCTTTTCTTGCCGTGGTTGGCTATCACCCCTCTCTCGCACTTTGCGTGCCAATTGGTCATGGACCACAAGCTGAGTGAAATAAATAAATAAATAAAAATACCGCTCGGCAGTACGAGAACTTTTGTCGTTCCGCTGCCAAGGATGACGGTCTAGTGTCGTTTACTTCTGGAGACGACCAACTTGACTCGTGCTTGTTCAATACCTTGGTCGAAAAGCAAAAAAAAACAAAAACAGGTTTTACCTACTTTGACTGGGCCAAGTGACCGTCCTTGTGGCGTAGCATTGCATAGCTGAGATTGCGGGTTGCCTCGTCTACATTCTTCTCTCCAAACATGGCACGGAGGCTGCAACATAGCAGAGAGGGACAAAGCACACAAATATATAGAAATTCTCACACACACCCAGCCACAAAATATCATAGTTGGCTAGATGGTGTGTCTGAACGGCTTGCGTCTAATTTCTAAGGTCCACATTCAGATTTTGATTTCCCCAGTTACGGCTACCGGCATGCAGCATCACAGCACCTCTACCTCTGTGCTAACCAAGGAAACAAGTCTACGAGGCTCCGTTAGACGGTCTTCCCTTAGACTCCATTGCTGGCATGCGTTGAAACAAAAAATAATGCAAAAAAAAAGGATGAGCAGAGGAATGAAGAAAAAAGCATGCCGCGTGCAAAAATTTCTCTGAAAAAAGAGTGCATAACATGGAGAAGAAAAAAAAAACAGGACAAGGTATTATGTTTTAGACCATTTCCTAGCACCGTAAAGTACCACCAGAGCGCCTCACCTTGAGTCTACAGCCAGGGAAAGGATAATTGCATGGCAGAGTGCAACCAAGTTTGTACGGTGTGAGAACCTTAGTGTACTAAGGTCATGCTTAGCAGGGTTTGTGAACTTTGTGTGGATCTCGCATCCGCTCGAGCGCTCGAAGGTAAATTGAGTACGGATTGACTGCACAACGCGTATGTGTGCACAAGGTTTGTGTTCTATGGCCTACAGACAAGACACCACCTCCACAATACGACCACGAAAGGAAGAGATTGTGGGGCGCTCTGGCGGTACTTTACGGTACTTGTGTGTGTGTGGGGGGGGGGGGGGGGATCGTAATCGATTCTAGAAGCACAGGGGTACATGGATAAAATCAACATGCAGTGCATGAGGTAGGACTACATTCAACAAGCCACGCAGGCACTGCATCTGTTACCATGGTTACCAAGAGAAGAACTCGTACACCCTTCTTCGGATTTGCAAGATAAATCAGATTCGGCTCGGACATGAATAATGCACTTACTTGAACTGGTACAACCCCTCAAAACCGAACAAAGACAGGGCATATCCGATTACTGGCAGGTGAATCACCTGGAAAGCAGACAGAAAATTATAGCAAATGAAGGCCATAATTAGTTGCTCGGAACCCTGGAAATGCACGCCTTCAAGTCGGTCCTAAGCGAAATGATGACTTTATTAAAACACAGTGTATAGGACAGCAGCCAAGCGAGCAGGCTTGCTGACTTTCATACACGTACATGACATTATTGCATGTGCGTGACATCGACATAAGGCAAAGTGCATGTACAGTACTTTCCAGAGTACAAGCCGCACTTTAAACACCATCAATTCACCCAAGCTAATGGGGTCGTTCTCGGCACTTGTGCCAGTGGTTGTGAGACTTATCCACTCACCCCCACCGTTAGGCGCTGCATCTGCCGCTAGGGTTTACCGGGTGTTAGCAGCCGTCGTGAGTTCCCTTCGGGAACGGACACGATAACTTACTCTCTTTTTTTTAATTCACCAAAAAACAAAAGCCGGTGCAGCTATACTACGACGGTCAAATTAACGGTGATAAACAGGGAAGACGTCTGTATTTCATGAGTGCAGCTTAACTCCAGTGCGGATTATAGCTCCGGAAAATACAGTAGCCGAAACGGTTGGTTTCAGCAGTAGTAGTACCGGTTCCATCAGATTCTAATCCTCAGCACCAAGCAATGGGCCACTAATGTCCAAGAAGGGGCCATCCATGCCTGGAGAGATAGAGCTATATCTCCAGGTGGAAGGAGCTCAATGGGAGCTTCTAGTTGTATGGATCCCAGCACTGGAACTGCAGATTGTCTTGGCGAGGAAAGCCAGCTTGAACCACACCCACAAAGCTGTCGAGAACGGTAGGGGAAGACAGACTCATCAGACTCATTCTCATACCACAGTTTCCTTTCTAAAAACTTCACCTTCAACCATAATCCAAACTTGCCAACCACCCCCGTATGTGTGTGTGTGCGTGCGTGCATCATGCAAGCGCGGATCATGCGGAATGCAATGATGCAACTACAAGAAAACAAATCTCGGCAGCTAGCAACGAGTGCATTCAGAGAAGAAGAAAACAAGTTCAGATGTAAGTAGTTTGTGATGAGCAGCAGAGACAAACATGCAGGAGAGTATAATTATATGATGAGATGGAGGCGACATTGGGAATACTCGGATTCACAATGTACGCGTGCCATCAGCTGGGTAATCAGAGTCGTCGTTGGACATCGTAAGTCCCAACTCAAATGTATTTGGAATATGATAATAAAATGTTATGGCAAGTTGGACTGTCTGTTGATTAATTACGATATGATCATGCAATGCGGGAGTCTATACTTGCAACTTCAAATTGATATGAAGTAGTCTTCATGATGTGGTGACATTCATGACATTCCCGACAACGAAAGTTATCTTACCCACTCTGCGATACGCTCACGGGCCTTCTCTGCTGCTTTGCGATTTGCCCGCCTAGGCTGGAACATGGTTGGAGCAGCTTCGTCCGCCATTGCCTGTTCCATAGCCGTTGCCGGTGCCGGGCGGTGTTCCATATCACCAGCCTCCACTGCTCCGACGTCATCCACAACGTGCAGCTCGAGCGGATAGAGCTTGCTGATCGGTCTCGACAACACTGCCTTCGATTTAGCCGTCTTCAGCTTGACAGCTCTGACTTGGCCATCGACTCCAGGTAAGATTTCTACCACTCTGCCGAGTCTCCAACTTCCACGTGGCTGGCCGGTCTCTTGGATTACGACCACTTCTCCGACTGTTGGTGTCCGAGAGATGCTACTCCGTGACTGTCGGTGTTGACTCATTGATGCTTCGCGCAGAGCAGGGAGGTATTCATCTTCCCACACCTTCCATGCTACATCCAGTTGTATCTGTTGCCGTTTCCACATCCTCGTGACCTTGGCTGCTGGTGTCTCCGGACCGTCCTCCTCGTCGCTGTCCGTCTGAAAACCGGTTGCCGTTCTTCCTCCACAGAGGAAATGTGACGGTGTCAGGGGTGAGAATGAGGACACATCGTCGTCGTCAACATATGTGAGCGGCCTCGTATTGATCATGCCTTCCACTTCGGCTGTCAGGGTTGCGAGCTGATCTAGAGTCAGGAGGCACCTTCCAAGACTCTTCCTCAAGGCTCTCTTGACAATGCTCACCAGCCTCTCGTACACACCGCCCTTCCATGGCGCAAACTCTGTTGTGAAGCTCCATTCGATATTCTCCGTTGAGAGATACGATAGCAGGTCTGGGTTGGCAAGAATCAGCTTCAGATGATCGTCCAGGACAGAGCGTACCAACTTGAACTGTGGTGCGTTGTCACACACAATAGACTTTGGCTTGCCTCGTCTCGCTGCGAACCGTCTCATGTTGTTCAAGAAGGCTGCTGCAGATAGGCCAGAGACTATGTCCAGGTGTACAGCTCGTGTGGTTAGGCAGGTTACTAGGTTGATCCATACCTTGCCTTTCTCCGTGCCGGTGCGGATCAATAGCGGTCCGAGGTAGTCAAGACCAACGTACGTGAATGGAAGTGCTCTGGTAATCCGTTCCTTGGGCCATGGGGGCATGGACGGCAACTTGAACGGACGCCCTTCGTGTCTTCGGCAAACCGAGCACTGATCCAGGATACGGCGAACGATAGCACGGCCACGTATGATCCAGAACTCTTGCCTTGTCTGGGCCAGGGTGTGTCGAACACCTGCATGCAGAAGCCGTCCATGGACTTCGCTGATGACATGCTTCGTGAACGCGTGATACGTTGGTAGCAGCTTCGGTAGTTTCTGGTCAGTTGGTAGTTCAGCGTTGCTCAGTCTTCCGGCGCATCGCAGTATGCTGTCGTCGTCGATCACAACACCAAGGTTAGCAACTGAACTGTGCTTGGCATTGGTCTTGATAGCTTTGAAGATGTCAGGGAAGGCCTCGCGTTGTACCATTCGAGTCCACCAATCTCGCGCAGCCTGTATGTCTTGTGACACGATGTCGTAGCTGTTGCTGATCTGAGAGAGACGTGGTGAGTTGGGACGCAGTTTCTTCAGGAACTTCATGCACAGAGCAGTGATTCTCAGGACCTTCCTCAAACTGCTTGCTCTCGTAAGCACGCTGCCGAGACCAGATGGAATGGTGTGTGGACTAGGTTGGTCAGTAGCACGATCGCTGCCACCAGTCACCAGGCTTGCGGTATGAAGCGTTGGTGCTTGCTCCTCCTTGCTGGCTAGGTCGGATTCGTCAGCTGAGAGTGTGAGGTCCTCGTCTGGCCAGTGATCTGATGTGGTACGTAACCAGTCCGGACCGTGCCACCATGACTCCTGAAGATCGGCCACCAAACCGCCTCGGCTAGCGACATCAGCAGGGTTGCACTCTCCAGGAACATGGCGGAAGGACAAGAACTCGCCGCAAGTACGAATCTCTGACACACGGTTGGCCACGAATACGGACAGTGGCTTGGATGATTTGATCCAATGCAGAACACAACGCGCGTCCGTCCATAGGGTGATGCTGGTAAGTGGGAGATCGAGTTCATCTTTGCAGAATCGGGCTGCCCGTGAACCAATCGTCACGCCAAGTAGTTCCAGCCGTGGCAGGGTGAGACCGTTAGGCTTGCCGTCCTTGGACTTCAGCGGTGCAAGACGTGTCTTGCCGAAGAGGAGCTCACAGGTTGTCATCATGGCTATGGTTGTGCGGAGGTAGACCACAGTTGCAAAGCCCAGTTGTGACGCATCGGTGAAGACGTGTAGCTGGTAGGTAGCATCGGTTCCATTAGCAATTGGGTTGATTTGCCTGGGGAACGATAACGAGCTGACCTCGCTCGAGGCTGCATGGAGGGTCAGCCAGGTGTCCAGTAGGTGTCCAGTCAAGACAGTGTCCCAGTCCATACCAGCTTGCCACAGAGAGCGTAAGAAGACCTTGATACGAAATGTGACCGGAGCAACCAGTCCCAATGGATCGTACAATGATGCAGCATACTTCAGGACAGCGCGCTTAGTCCAAACCGGGTCGGTGCTGGGTTGGGTTCGAGGACAAGCGAGCTGTAGACTGTCATCCTTGGTGTGCCACGTGATTCCAAGAACGTTGACACTGTCGCCCTGTGCCCTTTCCTTGGCATCCATAGCTGTCGTAGCGTGGCTGTTGTTAGATGCCCACTCACGTAGCCGCATGGACGAGCGAGAGAATACGGATGTAGTTCGGTTGCACATATCGTACCCTTCTTCCGGGGTGTCGACACCGATGAATACGTTATCCACGTAGATATTGCGGGACACCAAGCGACCGACATCCGCATCTTCATCATTTGCTAGATGGTGTTGGATTGTTGCCGCTAGCAGAAATGGACTGCTCACGATGCCGAACGGTACTCTCCGAAACCGATAGACCGCGATGTTGTCCGGAGTTGCTGTGGGATTAGTTGGATCGCGATACCATAGGAAGCGTGTCACGTCCCGGTCTGGCGGCCAGATGTCAAGTTGCAAGAATGCCTTCTCGATATCGGCTACCAGCAGAATGGGTGTGATGCGGAGTCGCATAAGAACTCCGGCAAGGTTGGGGAGCAACACGGGTCCACGTAGCAGACAGTTGTTCAAGCTCTTGTTGTGACGCCGTGCCTTGGCCGAGGCATCATAAACGACACGCAACTTGGTCGTCGTCTTCGTTGGAGTTAGAACTGGCTGGTGGGGTAGATAATGGAGTTGCGGACCAGTGACAGAATCCGGTGTCATCTGCTCAATGATGCCCATGTCGGCTTGCTGCTGGATCACCTTGTCATACTGCTCAAGTAGTGACGAGTCGGTGCTTAGCCGCCGCGATAGAGTCCGGAACCGGCCCAACGTCAATCCGTAGTTGTCCGGGAGAAACTGCTGCTGGCCGTTCCATGGCCAGCGAACGATGTAGCGATTATCGGTGCACTCCACTGTTGAGTGGAAATGTTGCAAGGCTACGTCATCGTCTTTCACGGGAGACGGGTGCTCTATCCCAAGCGTTTCGAGGCTCCACAAATCCGGAATGGACTGCTTAAGAGGCAGAACCTCCTCGTGTGAAACGTCGGCTGCGGCTGCGATCAGAGTGGTTGCCGG